ACCGTTGTTATTTCAGTACTTTCATTGAAGGATGAAAATGACCCCTTACCACCCTTCCAACAGGTAAGATTTTCCCGTCGTTCTAGTGTTAAAGTAATCACATTTTGCTTCTTATTATCTTACAATATATGCTGTGTACCTACATTTGTTAATATTAATGCAAATTTAATACATCATATTATGATATTACAAACGAATCATAGATTTTTCACAGTTTTCTTATAAATCTATATGCATATATCAATGTATAAACTAAAATTTTTAATAGCTTATTCTTTTCTTGAAAACTGCAGATATTCTACATTTTAAATCGCACATCAGCAGAAAGAATAACAACACTGCACTTTTATTTGAACAAAATTAAAAGACATAAGTTATTTATACATAACAGGCTTAATTTAAAAAATTTACATGCAGGCTTCTTAATTAAATCAGCGACTTTTAATTATTAGAAAATATTACACCTCAGTGATTTGTTAAGGCACATAAAATTATGTCCATAATAAAAGATGAGAAATTTTGGTTGATCTTTACATTATGGTAACTTGGCGTTTTTTTGGCGAAAATTTGGCGACCAACTCTCCTACAGCAACCCTCTATTTTTTTTTTTTTTTTTTCCGCCGCCATTTTGTCTTCATGAAGTAAAGACATGTTTCTTTTCTTTTTATCTACTGAACACTTCTTCCAACAATCTACTAGCCGAATTACACTTATGCTAGAAATTTTATCTAACAAAACTGCTTAATCATGACAAATATTCACTGCAAAATTGGGAAAAAGTGCACAATACCATCCTCCTTACGCGTTTTTCAAAATAACACATACACATAAACCATGTACACGCCGACTTATTTTTACTTAAAAAAACATCCCAGAATTGCACAAAAATGGCATTGCGCACACTCTTCACTATATCCATGTACACTGCTTTTTTCTCATAAATTAGAAAAATTTCACGAAAATACATGACAATTTTCTCAATCTTTAAACCCGGTAAAAAGAACATATATGAAATTACCTGATCGCGAAAAAGTATTTACCCTTTCCAAATATGAACATTTCCACATATAAAATAAATAAAATATCCAAAAACTTTTACCTCTAAATCATCTATTACATTATACACGTCACCAACGAATTCATACCGCAAGCATTACAAATACTTAGTATCAAATATTTAAATTATTTCCATGCACGTTTACTTCAACTTAAACGTATACCAAATTCCTACAAACATAAAATTCACAAAATAACTATCATTTAATTAAAATATCACTAAACCATGTACACGTCGACTTATTTTTACTTAAAAAAACATCCCAGAATTGCACAAAAATGGCATTGCGCACACTCTTCACTATATCCATGTACACTGCTTTTTTCTCATAAATTAGAAAAATTTCACGAAAATACATGACAATTTTCTCAATCTTTAAACCCGGTAAAAAGAACATATATATGAAATTACCTGATCGCGAAAAAGTATTTACCCTTTCCAAATATGAACATTTCCACATATAAAATAAATAAAATATCCAAAAACTTTTACCTCTAAATCATCTATTACATTATACACGTCACCAACGAATTCATACATACCGCAACCATTACAAATACTTAGTGTCAGATATTTAAATTATTTCCATGCACGTTTACTTCAACTAAAACGTATACCAAATTCCTACAAACATAAAATTCACAAAATAACTATCATTTAATTAAAATATAATTAAATTCAAAAACACTACTTAAAATATAAATGAGCACACACATTAAATTAATACATACATAATACCCATTTCGAATTCACTTTAGTTACGGCCATGGGATCCAAAAATTCACGAACACTGTTTCACACAACACAGAATAAAGCCAAATACAAAATTTCCAGATTTTTTCCCGATTTCCCCCTTTTCCGATTAAAGAACCGTAATTCGTCCATTAATATCACATGACATATCCCATGATCTCTCATTTCCCTCACACAAAATAATGCGTAATCGGAACTGAGTACTGCTCACATTATTACCAAAGTCCCAGGTAGTAACCTTTATCGCCTCCAAAATGTCGCCAAACTACCAGTTACCATATTGTAAAGATCAACCGATATTTTAGATATTTTATATTTAGAGTGCAGTATTATGTACATTTTATAGTACCAATTCAATAAAGTAAACATTTTAATCATGAACAATAAATTAATTATTAACACACTTTAATAGCATTTTGTTATATTAAATCTACTTTTTGCTTACTTGAGAAAAGCCATGTTGATGCATATATAAAAAGATTTAATATGTTTTCATGATTAACCTCATTAATTAAAAGAACATTTTTAAAGAAAATCTACACAGATTCTAAATATATAAATTTACATTAGAATGTTACTGTGATTTTATTTTGTTTATATGCACCATTCAGTCACCTACAATTTTAAATGGATTAAATAGCAGAGATAATTCAATAAAATAAATTATTATGAAAAAGTTTAGAAAATACTAGAAATTATGAAAAAGTTTAGAAATAATTATGAAAACGTTTAGAAAATAATTATGAAAAAGTTTAGAAAGTTTATAACCTTTCCTTGTAAATACAAAGTATCATGCAGTTCTAGCAATCAATATTAAATAATCATGATAATTGAATAATAGTTAAATTTGGTGCTAAATTTTATATCATAATCAAATTCTAGAAAGCCATCATATGCTTGCTTTTAACAAGATTATTTAAATATTATTTAAATATAGAAATGCTTGTATTTAATCCATTTTCATAATGGTAAGCACAAAATTTTAACATAAATATTCAAATAACTTTTTCTTGCAGAAAATTAAACATTCATAAATAAAACTTGATATGAGCAACAGTACATATCAATCTGTTGATATTAACATTTACTATAAAAACAAGCACCTGTTAATCCATTTGAGGTATTTTATAAAACAGGCAGTCAATATATACTTTTCCAAATCTCATGAAAAAATGTGTGAAGTCACTATGGAGCATACCACTTTAGATTATCATGCACTAAAAATGGTATATGTATTACACGATTTAACTATTTCATACAACTAAATAATAAATTTTCTTTATGAAGTTTAATACTCTGAATGCTATAAATTTTCTATAATCTGACAAATTTGGCAAGGTGCCAAATAGCTATAATCCTACAGTAATAACTTGTAAAAATTGCTACATGATTGTAAAATTCATGCATGTAATTGCTTAACTTTAAAATATAATTAATTAACTCTAAAGCTTAATTATTATATAAAATTAGGACCAAATTATCAAATTAATGAAAACTCACATAGTACCTAATGCACAAAGTTCAATATAAATACTTAACTTTTCTTTTCTCGATATTTTATATGCGAAATAAGATCGTGAAGAATAAAAACTGCAATGAAAACGATATCATTCCATGTAAATGAATTTCCAGGATAGCTAGCGAAACATCAAATATAAATCAGCCCTAATATTTTATGTCCAATTCGATTACACGTCAAAACACAAGAAAAATAAAACATTTTCTCAGAATTTAATATTTCTCTGTAAGAAACATTTTTAAATAGCATATAAAACGTATGAAAGAGAAATTTACACTGTGCGTGGTTACGATACGTACCCAAGAAACTAAAGGACTTTTCATAAAAGTTCCGACGGCTGAAACCGCTCCGGTAGTCATTTTTAGTCATTTCTTTTCCTTGATAAAAGGTATAACGAAATAATCAAGCTGGGAAAAAAATTCTGACATTGTACTGTCAAGTTTAAAGTCAGAGATGTCAAAAATAAAAAGGTTAAGATCTCAAATAACTCATTTTATAGTACTTTAGATTAGGTACAAATAAACAATTAAATGCTCAGAGCGAACTAAAATTCTGAGATTGCACAACAATGGTCATTAATTTAACAATACACGTTAAACAATAAAAAGCTTTAATATCACGGTCAACACATCAACAAGAAAAAACTGTTACGAAACGATTCGATTCGATTTCGATAAAAACAGGTGTGTGCTTTTTTTTTAATTATAAAAGTCTTTAAAGAGGAAATTAAAATTTTATCATGTGCATAATAATACTAAAAATATAAAAATATGAATTCATAAAATTGTCAAATAAATTTTCGGTTAGAAATAAGGCGTAATATTCATAAATTTAATTTTGTTGCTCATAATGTAACACCTCAACTTATTTGTTTACTAACAAAAACTGTTCTTACGCTTTTTTCCCGCTGTTTGTTATAAACTGCTATTTCGGTATTAAAATTCTAATAAATTATATCTGTAAACTATTTAACTTTTGAATAAATTGTAGTTTTTATATCATTAAAAATTCCTTATTGTGTAAGTCCTTCTTTTATATTATATATATTATATATTATATATATATATATATTAATTGAAATAATTATTCTTTGTGCGTGGTGTCTTTTTAAGTGTTTATTCCCTGTATTCCCGGAGTTCAGACTTAATTTTTTTTTTTTTTTTTATATATAGCATTTGTCATTAACACTTAGGTAAAGAAGCTGAATTATAATTTATGAATGGTGATTATTCATTTTAAGTCGCAAATATATTTTGTAACATTTCGACATAATTATTATTGATACTTTTATGGTGATATTTTATTTAGTGATATTTTATGTGTTGATATTTATGTATTGGTATGTCTTTCGGATGTTATAAATTTTCAAGATTTCTTTCCACTAGTGCTCCTTATTTTACTTCAAAAAGAAAAGGCTGTTCTTATATCCTTCTTAATCGGCTATTTGAAAGCTGAACCAAAATAATATGCGCATGTTACATATATGTTACATAATACTTGAATTCTCTTAGGATAAAAATATTTTTTTTTAGAAACAAAGGTATACTGTTCTTAAGTTAAATAGCAAAAAATGGCTGATCTTTAGAATATGGTAACTGGTAGTTTGGCGACATTTTGGAGGCGATAAAGGTTACTACCTGGGACTTTGGTAATAATGTGAGCAGTACTCAGTTCCGATTACGCATTATTTTGTGTGAGGGAAATGAGAGATCATGGGATATGTCATGTGATATTAATGGACGAATTACGGTTCTTTAATCGAAAAAGGGGGGGGGAAATCGGGAAAAAATCTGGAAATTTTGTATTTGGCTTTATTCTGTGTTGTGTGAAACAGTGTTCGTTAATTTTTGGATCCCATGGCCCTAACTAAAGTGAATTCGAAATGGGTATTTAGTGGGATTGAAAGGGGTAGTAAGAAGTGTTTCTTTAAGGTTGTGCGAGATAGAAGTAAAGATGTTTTATTAAGTTATTTATTTTACCTGGTACCTTGCTGTGAACTGTAAGTATGATTTTAAAGATCCTGAAACAGAAATAAGAAAAGTTTATCGGACACGTAATCAAAATTCTGAAGAAGAGTAGGTAAGTTAGTATTTTTAATTATTTGAGGATATTATTTTTATGCATTGTTTAAACGTGTAAGGTGGAAGTAAAGTAATTTGCATAAACATGCATGGAAATAATTTAAATATTTGACACTAAGTATTTGTAACCATTTGTAATGTTTGCGGTATGAATTAGTTAGTGACGTTTGTAATATAATAGATAATGTAGAGGTAAAAGTTTTTGGATATTTTATTTATTTTATACGGGGAAATGTTCATATTTGGAAAGGGTATATACTTTTTCGCGATCAGGTAATTTCATATATGTTCTTTTTACCGGGTTTAAAGATTCAGAAAATTGTCATGCATTTTCGTGAAATTTTTCTAATTTATGAGAAAAAAGGAGTTACATGGATATAGTGAAGAGTGTGCGCAATGCCATTTTTGTGCAATTCTGGGATGTTTTTTAAGTAAAAATAAGTCGACGTGTAGGTTTGATATTTTAATTAATTTTTATTTTTTGAATTTTGTTTGTGTAGGAATTTGGTATGTTTAGTTGAAGTAAACGTGCATGGAAATAATGACACTAAGTATTTGTAATGCTTGCGGTATGAATTCGTTGGTGACGTGTATAATGTAATAGATGATTTAGAGGTAAAAGTTTTTGGATATTTTATTTATTTTATATGTGGAAATGTTCATATTTGGAAAGGGTATTTAAAGATTGAGAAAATTGTCATGTATTTTCGTGAAATTTTTCTAATTTATGAGAAAAAAGCAGTGTACATGGATATAGTGAAGAGTGTGCGCAATGCCATTTTTGTGCAATTCTGGGATGTTTTTTTAAGTAAAAATAAGTCGGCGTGTACATGGTTTATGTGTATGTGTTATTTTGAAAAACGCGTAAGGAGTATGGTATTGTGCACTTTTTCCCAATTTTGCAGTGAATATTTGTCATGATTAAGCAGTTTTGTTTGATAAAATTTCTAGCATAAGTGTAATTCGGCTAGTAGATTGTTGGAAGAAGTGTTCAGTAGATAAAAAGAAAAGAAACATGTCTTTACTTCGTGAAGACAAAATGGCGGCGGGGAAAAAAAAATAGAGGGTTGCTGTAGGAGAGTTGGTCGCCAAAAAAACGCCAAGTTACCATAATGTAAAGATCAACCCAAAAAATTATCACTGTATTTTTTGAATAACTGAGGAATGGCGAAATATGATATCAAGTTATAAAATTTAATTATTTTCACTTAATCTGACTTTGTTACCTTATGGTTATATTTAAATACAGTGAACCCTCTTCTAGCAACCACCTTTTAAAGTCACTAGTATTTTAGCGAACATAAATATCAGATCTGATAATTTTATTATACTTCTGTAAGAAAGTCATTCCCGAACCCAACCAAGATTATCAAATACTTTTATTTGTGATTGACAAAAACCTCTTAAGTTTAATATCAGTTTAAAATATTTTCAAGCAGAATTAAATTATGTATCTATGATGCAAAAGCTTTTTTTTATCATTTTCGGCACAGTAATATATCACATTATATTTAATGTACTTAATACTTTAAATGATTTATTGCATTCCTGAACTATACATACTGATTCTTCCATACATTGTTTGGGCAGACTGATATGCAGGCTGATTTCCAGCAATTTCAGTTCTACATGCAAACAGTACAGTTGGTGCCTCATGTGTATTAGACTTATTAATAATCCAATAGGAAATACAGTCAAAAGTCGTTAATTCGGACACCCATAATTCGGAATGATCTATAATCCGGACCTCAAAACTAAAAACTTTCTGCGCATGCGCCGCGTTGACACATGCGCATAGGCGTTTACGCGAGCGCGTAGACCTTTTACGAACTGCGCATATGAGTTGCGCAAGTGCGATACGTTTCGCGTGCGCGGTTTATGTATAATGGATGTATAAGGTAAAATTTATTAATCTATTTCAGTTAATGTTGATGATTGCGTGGTTCCTTAATTTTCGAATTGGATCCGACTTATTATTTTTTTGCAGACTGTAAGAGCATTTTAAAAAGTAAGCTTAAACTTTCGATTATCAAAAGAATTTTCCGATATATATTTGTTTAATATGTAAAGGATCTAAAGCGAAAGTATGTTTTGAAATCCGAAATATGTTTATCAATTTTCACGCTGCTCGGCGGGGGGGGATCGCCGCGGGGGCGCGTAATGAATTGGAAGTTGATCTCTCAACACTATCCTTATCTTCAGCGCAGATGTTTTTTTTAATTTGGCTTATAATTCCTTACCAAATGTAGTATTTCACTCGATATGCTCCGTCTTCGATATGATTAAAACAAGTTCCTCGTCATTTAATTTCGCTTTTCGATAGCGAAGAAAAGTGACAGAGGTTATTGAAAACGAAAAAATTTCGATTGACAAATTAATCGGTGTTCTAGACACAGCAATTATAGGCCTTGAACAGCGGAAACTTTTGTAACTGAACAAGAAATTATGTCTGTTTAATAGAATTAAAGAAAGTATTATCACATGAAACGAAGCAAAACTTAAACAACTTACATTGAAAGAAATGTTTAATAAAGTAAACAAATAAATATTAAGCTTTTTTCTTTTTGCAAATTTTGATACCCTTTAGATCAAATTGTTCTTATTTCATAAATTACGGTTTCATATTTTTAATTTTAGAATTTCTGCATGCCATCTTACGAGATTTAAACTGATGATCTATAATCCGGAAAAATCGATAATCCGGAATCGCCGAAGTCCCGACGAGTCCGGATTAACGACTTTTGACTGTATGTATTTATATATTGCTTGTGAGCACTGTTTTGAATAATTTGTGTGATTGTGTAGTTGGTGTCCTTAGTTAGTAGTCCTAGGTATGGGCTACCTATGCATGGAACTGGCTCTGCTAATATGATAGATCATACCATCATTAATAAAATTATGATTTCTAAAACATGAATAATGATGAGTGTTTATTACTCAGTACCCACTTAACCACTTATATTCAAGGTTGCGATGACCCAAGTTACCAATGTTTTAGCTAGAAAAAAAAAATATATTATTAATAAACAAGTTGTTATAACTGAGATGTTTAAAAAAATGACAGTATATTTAAACTGAAAGTGAAGTGTTCTGCAAATCAAAAATCCTGATTGACAAGAGTAATTGTATATGACCTGTAAAACTTGAAACGGATCATAATTTAGGAAGGTGGTTGGAATTTTTTTCATAATTTAGGAAATTAAGTGGTTGATATATTGACAAAGTTCAAACTATTTTCAAAAAGAAGTTATTTATCTGCCACTTCCTGCCCCATTTAAGATCTGTTTTCTATATTTTAAAGGGTACTTTTCCATTTTGCTGGCGCAAATCTCGCCAAGCAGACTTTCTTGGCGACAGCACGCATTATATACATAAAATTTTTTTTTAACAAATGTTAGTTCTAAGAATTTTTTATTTTAGAGACATAAACATTTTAATATTATTTAAAATTTATATATACTTTGAGTATTTATGAAAATTAAGTATAAAAAAAGTCATATTTTAAATTTTTTTTACCTATTATTTGTTGTGATTAATTTGTAACTAACTAGTAATATAATAGTATTAATAATTTGATATATCATAGCTCTACGTTTGTATTTTCTTTATTAAATTCCAAGAGCTTCAAATAGGATAATCCATTATGCAAATCAGTAACTGTCATCATTGGTAGTCATCTTCTGTACGATGATCACCTCCACAGGAGACCGAAATTGTCTGTCCCATGAGTGATTGTCTTAGAAATAGCTAACTATATTTGGTTTGATTTGTTGTTTTTACTTTTATTCATGAAATTGCAAGGTTTTTTTCCCCCCTGATTAATTGCAGGATTGTAACTAATCTATTTCATG